TCCCTGAATCAGTCAGGTTCCTGTCAGGAAACAGGTAACATTCTGACTAGAACAATTTGAGTAACATTTAATAGAAGGACTACACCCACGCCTCACTTGTCAATATGGTTGTTTCACAGATCAGATTGTTATATGAAAACTGGTATTATGCAAAAATGGAAGACAAGTACATCATTACATATCTGCCAAACCACTAAGAATCATGGCCCAGCCAAGTTGACATATAACCTTAACCACCACAGCCAGCGTTACTCTCACGCCATACCTTGGTGATCATTACTGACAGACATACACTGTTAATGTACAAAATAGATTTTTTTACTATTGTTGTAAATGCAAAATGTCACATAATGAGTTAGCTGTTAAGTAAGTGTCTTTACAAAGTGATGAGTTGGGGATGGTGCTGTCTCCAGGCATTATACTAGAGTTGTTACCAGAAGGAGCCAGAGGAGGAAGCAGTTACACAAACTGCTTTTGTGTGGAAGGGTCACCTATAGGATGTGAGCCTTCTGGTGGAGGAGTAGGCCAGCCTGCAGGATTCAACAAGAAGGGGAATAAACATCCTGACTTCACTCTCCTTCCATCTTCTTTCCTGCATGGGCTCCTCACTGGCTGAATCCAATTAGAAGTCATCGGGCAAGGAAGCCCATAAATGGGGCCCAAATGGGTAAGCCTCCTGCTCCATAGAGCAATGCAGAAAAAAGTTGAGGGGAGAGGCAAATAAAAGATGCCCAGCACATTCCTCTTGCCAACAAAACCAGTTGCCATCAAGTCCGTTTAGACTCATGGTGATTCCATGTATCAGAGGAGAACTGTGGCCCATATGGTTCTCATATAGTTTTTCAGAAGTAGATCACCAGGCCTTTCTTCTAAGGTGGACTCAAAATGCCAAGCTTTCACTTAGCAGCCAAGCACATTAAATATTTCCACCACCCAGGGACTCCTTCCCCTGCCAAAAGGGTGGGAAAAATGACCTAAGCAAAATGTTCTTTCCCTGGAACTTAAATCTTGAACAGATAGAGGCATGGGCATGTCCATCTGAGCATCCTCTGGCCAGACTGTCCCTAATATAAGACTACCAGTGAGAGCCTGCTTCCCAGCCTCAGCTCCTGCCTCTTCCCTATCCAATCAATTCTGCAGCACGCAGCAGTTCTCAGAATCCCCTGAAGTCTTCCAACAAAGTCAGCCAGAGTCACGGCCTATTGCTGGTAATAAAAGGACACAGATATAAACATCTTCCTGCACAATAGTCAGGGCTCTTCATCAAAAAGATTGTAAATAGAGAGACCCCTGGTTATAGCACTAATGGGTATAGCAAACTAGTCACCATGAGGACTGAGAACCAAGCCAACGTCAGTATCGCTCAGGGCTGGTCTACTAAGGCCACACTGCTGGCCCTGCCCATGGCTACAGACTGCTTACAAGCAACCACTGAGCTTACAACATTCCCACCAATGAGCCAAAGACCCCAGAGCCTAGATACTAGTGGTACCACATCTCACTGCACCCACCCACCCATGAATGGATTCCCTGTGTAGGAATTCTCAAATCACTGGCTCCTGATACCTAGCACAATGCATCTGACTGGCTAAAATAAGATTATGTCTTTCAACCCAAGTGCATGGAAGCCTGGGAGAATGAGCAGCAGCATTCCAGTTAGAAGGAAACCCCCCCAAAGAAGGGAAAGTTTCCCACACAGGACAGCCAACACAATGTTTACTAAGTAATACCTGTAAATAACATATGTTGCCCTTACAATATGCTTCATATAGTATATTCAAAGAGGAATTATTTACTGCTGGAATGGATCACATTTCTTTCCCAAAAGAGTTAAACTAATTCCCAAACACATGCAGAAAAAATGCCTGAAAATACCCACACATACTAACTTTTAAGAAATTAATTTAATAGGTAAGATATGGCTTTGATTGGCTTTGTTGTTTATTAGCAACAAATCTGTCCTGGAAGAAGTGCAGCAAGAATGTTCCTCAGAAGAGAGAACAGCCAGACTTCATTTCACCTACTTTGGTCATGTTGTCAGAAGGGACCATTCTCTGGAGAAGGATGACATGAGGTAAAGTGGAGGGTCAACAAAAGAGGGGAAGGCCTTCAATGAGATGGACTGACACAGTGGCTACCACGATGGGCTCAGGTATAGTAGGGATCATGAGCCTGGCACAGGACCAGGCAGTGTTTAGTTCTATTGTACATACGGTTGCTATGAGTCAGAAACAACATGATGGCACATAACAATAACAACGTTTATTAGTTATTTCTTCTCCGGAAGTCTTTGGTACCTTTTACTATTTGTTCTGACCACTGATTCTTCATTATTTTCCTTTTTCTAGCCTTGTGCTAAAATTAATTGGTATTGGCCAAAAGGAGAAATGTAATAGGATTAGATTCAGCAGCATACAACATGAACAAGAACAGCAGAAGCTTAAACTAGGTATGTTTCTTTCCAGAGAAATTTCTTTCTCTTGCACATAAAAGAACCATCAGCGGGTAAGGTGATGGAGCTCCACAAAGTCATAGGGACCCAGCTCTTGTGTCTACCCCTCCCAACTTCTATGAAGCCTTTCTTCTTACTATTCAAGGTGTTGGCTAGAACTGCAGAAGCACAACAGGGGGCAAGATGAAGACGACTGGCCACCTACTGTCACACTTCTGCTTGTATCATATTGGATAAACTTCAGCCATGTAACCTCACCTAGCTATAAGGGAGGTACTAAGCCCTGCTAAAAACCAGGATCCCAGTTTCACTATTCAGGAATAAGGTGAGGATGGGTACTGAGAAGCAGTTAACTGTCTCTTTTCTAGGCAAGGATATCATGTTGAAGGTCACCAGAACCCCCAGAAAGGATATAACTATGAACAGTGACAGCTCTTAACAACTGCAGAACCAAATAAAAACAATGACTAGGGTTCTTTCAAGGAGCTTATGGACTTAGGAGTGGGGCAAGAGGGCTTAAGCCAAAGTTCCTTTCTAATTTTGTGCCTGAGTATTGGGAGCTCTGGTGGTGTAGTGCCTAAGACATTTGACTGCTAACCAGAAGGCTAGTGGTTCAAACCCACCAATAACTCCTTGGAAGGAAGGTTGGGCTATCTACTTCTGTACTGATACTGCCTCGGAAACCCAAGGAGGGGTCGCTATGAGTTGGATCCAACTCAACGGAAGTGAGTTTGGCTTTTTGGTAAGTTGGAGTACTTAATTTGTTCTTCCATTCAATTAACATCCTTTCCTAATACAAACTACCCTTGCAACAATCATCCAAAGCCACTCCTTAAAGGCAGATATATTCCAAGCAGCTAGTACAACATATATAGATAGCACTTAGTAGGTGACAATGGTGGGTCAGTGGTAGAATTCTCAGCTTCCATGCAGGTTTCATTCCCATCCAATGAACCTCATGTGCAGCTCCATCTGTCAGTGGAGGCTTGCCTGTTGCTTGATGCTGAACAGGCTTCAGCAGCTGCCAAACTAAGATGGACTAGGAAGAAAGACCTGGCAATTGACTTCTGAAAATTAGTTAATAAAAACCCACTGGATCACAAGGGCCTGATCTGCTACTGATCATGAAGACAGTGGAGGACTCAGCAGTATTTCAATCTGTTGAGCATGGGATCATCATGAGTAAGGGTCAACATGACAGCAGCCAACAGATACTCAAAAGATATGTGTTCAGTGAATCCATGTGTTTACTGTAACACACTCAGTCAAGGTTCTGTGGTGGGTGCTGAGCATGCAGAAATGAGAGGTCCAGACCCTACCCACTGGCACCCAGTCATGTAGAAAAAACAGACAAGCACACACGGGTACGTAGGTAAAGGCATGGAGATTTAAGTGACAAAAAGTCTAGGAGGCTAAATTATAGTTCATGAGCCAAAGAGTAAGAAATTCTGGCCAGGACCAGACTTGAAATTCCTCTCAAGTCCAAGGTGAGAAACTTAGTCTCAGACACTGAAAGGTTAGAACAGGGGGTGGCATTCTCAGAAACAGCCATCTAGAAATATCCTTCTGAGGGATAATGGACAGAGGGGAGAGACTGTCAGAGAGAATCATGAAAAGGCCTCAACAGTAAGCAAACGGGAGACAGAGATCAAATCGAGGGGCATCAAGCAGTGGCTGGGGGCAGAGGTAACAAAACCTGGGGATGCAGGCTGGATGGCGGGTTTCAGAGCTGAGGAAATGGAAAACTGCTTGAGAGGGGCCCAGGGAGGACCTGAGGGGGAGTACGGCTGGGTTGGGGTGGGGGGCAAAGTGAAGGGTGTGGAAGGAGGGGTGAGGAGAAACAAAAGAGGCCCTGTGCTAGGGGGAAGGGGAGAGAGCAAGGAGCCAGTGATAGATGCCAGGGAACTCTGTGGGAGGGGAAAGGAGGGGCTGCTGGGGCCGGAGGAAAGGGGCCAGAAGAGAGCTTGAGCAGACAGAGAGCTGGACTCCCAAAGGCTTGTGCTCATGGCTCAGCTATGTCTCCGCCCCACCAGGAGACTGCCTGGTTCCTGCTGCCTCCCTCATGGCCCAGCCAAGTCCCATCAGGAGCTCTGAAGCTCCCCACCATCCAGCGGCCCCCCCTCCCAGAACTCAGGCGCACCCCTATTACCCCTCAGCCTCTGCACCAAATGGCTAATGAAACATAGGTTACAGGAGGTGAGGAAATAAGCAGACATGTGGGAGGAGGGGGCATCAGGAAGCAGAAGCCAGGCTGAGGCCAGCTGGGAAGGGCCACAGGTCAGAGGGGGTGGGGTGGGAGGTGGGGTTGGGGGTTGGTGACCAGGGATCCAGGGCACCAAGCCAACAGGGAGTGAACTGTCTGCTGAGCTCTGCCTCTGACAGGCCTAATGAGACACAGGTGGTCCCCTGGCCCTGTCCCCACTCAAGAGTGTAAGCTGATGCCAGTTCAGTGTCGGAGGAGGGGGAGAGGGGCTCTGCAGCCACAGGGCGGGGTTGGGGAGGCTGGCCAGGACCCAGCACATAACTCTGGGCCGCTGCAGTCTGGGCTGCAGACACCCAGCCGCCCTGCAGTGAACAGACAAGATGACGGTAAGGGGCCCAGGGTGGGGCTCCCATGGCACAGGGACAGAGCCCACTCAAGGGGGAGAGTACCCTTGATCAAGAGGGGACTATGAAGAGCCAGGGGATCCCTTATTCCAAGAAGGATGCGTATTTTGAAGGTGCTGAGCCTGTCCAAGAGTTACTTGGCAGAAGGAACGGGGTTGAAGGCCAGGCAGAGAGGTTCCAGCAGGGTGGGATGTGTGCTGGGGTAAACACAAGAAAAGCAGGGGTCTCAGGTTTGAGGGCTACAGTGACCATGCCTTTCCCCCGCAGGCCCTCCTGGCCCTGCCGCTGCTGCTTCTCCTCTCCACCACTCACTGTGTTCCCCAAGCCTCCGGGATCCGGGGAGATGGTAAGTAGCCCCCATGTTCTCAAATGCAGCATACAAGCAGGCTGGGCAAAGAGGGCTGCTCCAAGCCACCATTCCTGGGGTCAGGCCTCAGAGTTGAACCCCAGCACCCCAGGACTCCAGTCCCTCCTCTATAAAATAGGGCAAGTGGATGGAGAGATCTTTAAGGGTCCCTGACTTCTTGCGATTTCTTGTAACAGAGTACCCCACCCCAGGGAACTGAGGCAGACTGCTAGGTGCTGAATGGTCTGTAATACCCTAGTCCCTCTCCCCTCACTATCCCCATTGCACACGCACCACCCCACCCCTCCACCCCATGCCAGCTCTGGAGAAGTCCTGCCTTCAGCAGCCCCTGGACTGTGATGACATCTATGCCCAGGGCTACCAAGCAGATGGTGTGTACCTCATCTACCCCTCTGGCCCCAGTGTGCCCGTGCCTGTCTTCTGTGACATGACCACCGAGGGTGGAAAGTGGACGGTAAGTTGGGGGTTTGAGCTCATACAACTGGTTCAAACAAACCTTGTATTAACCCCAGCTGTGTGGGAGCTCTGGCGGCATAGAGCCTAAGGCATTTGACTCCTAACCAGAAGGCTGGCGGTGCAAACCCACCAGCCACTCCTCAGAAGGAAGGCTGGGCAATCTACTTCTGTAGTGACACCACCTTGGAAACCCAAAGAGGGTTCCCTATGAGTTGCCATCCAACTCAATGGCAGTGAGTTTGGTTTTTTGTTTTTTTGTGTGTGTGGCCCTGAACTTCCCCTTTGAGTCTCAGCCTCTTCATCTGTAAACTGGAGATAATAGTTTGTGAGCAGCCAGCAGAAACTGAATGCTGAAGGTGGGTTAATGCATTGAGTCCTTAGAGTAAACCTGGCAAGGAGGCCCAGAGAGGTGAAGTAACTTGCCCAAAGCCACACAACCAGTACCAGAACTCACTCAGGCATCTGAACTCTGGAATGCATCCTCTAAACCCCTTCCCTGCTTGCCTCTCATGAGAAAAGAATCCAACTGGGTGCCCAGCACTCAGTAGCTGCTCTACAGTGGTCCAATGTTCTAGATATCTGATTCCGTCTTTTAAGCTTTAATGCTTCAGCATTACAGGGTTGAGGGCCAGGGCAGGGTAAAGCCCCTGACCACTAGACCCACCATTGGTCCAGTCCCTAGTCCTCTCTGCTCTAGGTTTTCCAGAAGCGATTCAATGGTTCAGTGAGTTTCTTTCGGGGCTGGAATGACTACAAACTGGGCTTTGGACGTGCAGATGGAGAGTACTGGCTAGGTAAGCCAGAGACAAGCCACTGGTGAGGGGCAGGGGGTGGGGAGGGGGAGGCTGCCCAGACCCAGGTCCTTGCTGACCAACTGCCATTTCTTTCCCCCAGGACTGCAGAACCTCCACCTCCTGACGCTGAAGCAGAAGTACGAGCTGCGTGTGGACTTGGAGGACTTTGAGAACAACACAGCGTTTGCCAAGTACATCGACTTCTCCATCTCCCCCAACGCAGTCAGTGCTGAGGAGGATGGCTACACTCTCTATGTGGCAGGCTTTGAGGACGGCGGGGCAGGTATTGCCCTCCTGTCAGCCTAAGGAGGAATCAGGGGTTGCAGGAAGGCAGGGGCTGACACTGCCCAGTTGGATCCATGACCCCTTTTTGGCCCCCTTTGCCCACCCTGGGCTTGGAAGGGCCACAGCTGACTCCCGACCAGCTTAGCCTCAACCCTGGGGGGAAGTATGTCTGGCTTTGCTCCAGTGGACCCACTGTGAAGAGCAGCTGTTTCTCTTCACTACAGAAGCAAATCTACCCAACATCTGGCTTGGGGAGGTGCCCCCATCCCACCAGGCTGCCATGTGATGCCTTCATCAATGTCACACATTACTGCTGTCATCTCTCTCCCTGCCAGCTCAGGGCTCAGCTTCCCACCTCAGCAGCCCCATCCTTCCTTCCCACTGCAGGCGACTCCCTGTCCTACCACAGTGGCCAGAAGTTCTCTACCTTCGACCGAGACCAGGACCTCTTTGTGCAGAACTGTGCAGCCCTTTCCTCCGGGGCCTTCTGGTTCCGCAGCTGCCACTTTGCCAACCTCAATGGTTTCTACCTGGGTGGCTCCCACCTTTCCTACGCCAATGGCATCAACTGGGCCCAGTGGAAGGGCTTCTACTACTCCCTCAAGCGCACTGAGATGAAAATCCGCCGGGCCTGAGGGCTGGGCTCCCAAAGACCCCCATCTCCCCCTCTACCACCCCAGAGCCCCTGCCATGTTGATTACTCTGCCCCTAGCACCAAATTCATATAGGACCTTGTGGCCCTCTGCTACAATTGACCCCTTCCCACACTCAGGGCATCTGGCTCCAAGCCAAGCCTCTGCTCCTCTACCTTGAGTCCATAAACCAGCAGTTTCCCAGGCCTTTTCTAAGGCCCAGTCACCCCAACCTAGACCTGGCTGGGCTCCACCAAACTTGTAGCTGCCTTTGCCCTTCTCAACTCTTCTAGCTAAGCACCAGAAGTCACTCTCCAGGCTGCAAGCATTTGTGTTCACCTTCAGCCAGCTTCCTGACTGCAGATTCCTCCACCTGAGCCACTGGATACCAGACTGAGCTGGCACAGTCAGACCAGTGCCCATGGTATGTGCCAGGCCACCTATGCGTGGCCACTGCTGCCACACCCAAGACTCCCTCTGGCTATTCTGAGATCTCCAGCCTCTGGTCTCCCTTCTACAACCTATCCTCCTATGGTGAGCACTATGGTTGCCAAACCCCTTATCACTATCATACTTAGCTTCCCCCACCTACCTGTCCCAGCCCCTAAAGCTCAATGCCAAAACTGTATTTCACCACAGCTACTGCATGCTACCCTGAAACAGCCACCAGTTACGAAGGTATAAATACATGGTACCATGCCCCAGTCCAGGCCCAGATTTGCCAATGCAAGGGAACAGAGACAATCTCTGTGGGTATGGGCGTGGACAGACTCAATAAACCTGCAGGACCTGAATAAACTGGCTTTGGCTATCATGCTCTCAAATGCATTTGCTTGTAGAGACCTGGCTTCCCTACTGATCATATCCTGCCCCCAACCCCATAAATCTACAATCAGATGTTGAAGGATCCTTATATTTCATAAGCCTTGTTTTGATGACAAAAAGATAGTGTAAAAGTAAAAACGATAATAAAATACAATACTGAAAAGATCACTCAGGGCAGTAGGAGTCCCCCGATCCTGCCATGGCTCGGTGGTGGCTCAGTGGCTGCTTAAGGCTGCAGTGTGAGTCTGAGATGAATCTGCAGAATCCAGGCCAAGCCTCACCTGCTGGCCCAGGGCTCCAGCACTTGGAAAATGCTTCCGTGGGTCCATTCCAGCAAGGCACAGGCTGGGGGCCTCAGGGCTCCTGGAGGTCAGATAGGTCAGCCAGCAGCATTGGGGAGTCCATCTGTATCTCACGCTGCAGTGACTCGATGTCAGCAGGGTTCATGCCATGACCCTCCAGCCAGTCAGCAAGCAGGGAAGCTGACAAAGAGGCTGAGTCCGCCTGGCTGCATGGCAAGGGGCAGGAAGGGAGCTGTCATCCTAGGCTGGCACTGTACCCATTCCATGGGGGAGTGCCTCCTGTACCAGGGTCCCCTCCCCATAACCCCTTCCAGGAACTCAGTGTAGACATCTCTGCCCTTACCCATCCTGGGGTCCATCAGCCATGCCGATATCGAAAGATTGGTTCAAGAACTCCTCCAGGTCAAAACCAACACCATAGCCAGCCCCACTTCCTTTTGGAGTGCCTGAGAACACAGGGGGCAGGGGGTCTTCCACCTGCAGGGAATGAGGATGAGATTACAATTCTGATGTCACAAAAGCAGATTGCAGGTGCACCTGAGAAGCCCAGGAATGAGAATACCAGTGTCATGAGGAAATGGGGCTTGCTGGGTGCCCACTTCTAGGCACAGCACTTTCCCAGCAGTGGCTTACTTACAACACCTCACACACAGGCACCATGCTCCCTCTACAAACAAGGGGACAAGGTTGGAGTGACAGAGCCCTCCTGCCTCATAATTTTTATGAAACAAGGACATGCCAAAGCCTCTCCCTTCCACCTGCCCCCACCAAAACCAAACATCAATCCACTGCCATCGAGTTGATTCCGACTTATAGAGACCCTTACTGGATTTCTTAGGTTATAAATCTATACAGAAGGAAATTGCCTCATGTTCCTCCCAACAAGTGACTGGTGGGTTTAAACTGCTGACCTTCTGATTAGCAGCCAAATGCCTTACCCATTACACCACCAGCCCCCACAGAATAGAACCTATTTTCCCTGGGCCCAACACCTGTGCCTCTCCTCCCACCTGTGACTTGGACAGCTGCTGGGTCACCAGGTTGACATCAGGTGACTCTGAGGTGGAGAGTTGAGGGGCACCCCCAGGATCTGGAGGGGGTGGGCCAGATGGGAAGTAAGGTACAACTCCCAGGGTGCTGGGGCCAGGCAGCCCAGGGGGTGGCACAAGTGGCTGGGGGACGAGAAGGCTGGAGGTGGTCTGGAGCGGAGGAGGGCCAGGGATGGGCCCAGGGCTGGCTGGGTGAGGAGCAGGGTCAGGGGGTGGACAGGCAGGTTGGGGTGCAGGACCAGGGGCAGAGCCTGTAGGCTGAGGTGGAGGACAAGTGGATTGGGATACAGGCCCAGGGGGAGGACTGGTGGGCTGGGCTGGGGGAAGTGCTGGTGCTGGTGGCCGAGCCATGCGAGTCCAACGCTCTAGCAGGCTGCGGTCATTGTCACTGAGCACAAGCCCAGCCAGAGGGTCAGTGGAGGGAACCCCAGCGGCCCCAGCCCCCCGCTCCTTTCGCTCCCGCTCCTGCCGTCGCTTCTCTCGCTCCTTAGCACGCTCCTGCCGCCGCCGCCTCTTCTCTTCTCGTTCCCGCTGCCGCTCCTGGGCTGTCACTGGCTTTCGAGGCTCAGGGGCCTCCAGAGGGGCACTGGGGCCATCTGTGGGGAAGTCAGATGGGGAACATAAGAGCAAGGAGCCTAGCCTAAGCCTGGAGTCTCACTCCCACCCCACTCCCAGGCCAACCACTCCATCCATAAGACACCTTTGAGCCGGTTCCGCAGGGATTTCAAGAGAGCAGCTTTCAGAGCTGCCTTGGTGTTGTCTGAGATGGCACCTTCTCTCTTTGGAGGGGCCAGCTCACCAGCAGGCAGAGGTGGCGGGGCAGTCAGATCAATGGTGTCAGGTGCAGGGCCAGGACACGGTGGTGGGGCTGGTGGGGGTGACTCCATGGCACAGTCCCCACCAGGTGCCCAGGGACTGGGCATCTCAACATCTGGACAGCCAGGCTTACTGGCTACAGGCTGCAAAGAAGGCTGGAAGCGGATCTGCTGGCGGATACCCTCACGCCGGGCATGGAAGTCCTCAATCTCAGCCACAATGGCCTCCTTAATGCGCTCTCGGGTAAGGGCTTCACGGTCAAAGGCAAAGTCAAAGGGTGGGGCACAGTCAGGCTCATCATCAGGGTCATGGTACTTGGCCAGGAAAGGGTGGCGCAAGGCAGCAGCTGCTGAGATACGGGAGCCAGGTTCAAAACGCAACATGCGGCCCAGCAATGAGAGGGCCTGGCGGTCAGCACCTGGGTACACTGTCTCCCAGGGCACAGGCTGGCGTGGTGGCAAACTCTGAATATAAGCCCGTACCCTCTCGGCTCCCACAGCCTGAATCACAGCTGGTGATGGGGTACCCAACACCATCATGATCAGCTGTAGCTGGTGAACATAGTTTTTACCTGGAAAAAGCTGGCGCCGGGCCAGCATCTCACCAAAGATGCAGCCCACAGACCACAGGTCAATAGCCTGTGTGTACTCATGCAATGACAGCATGAGTTCAGGGGCCCGGTACCAGCGTGTGGCCACATACTCAGTCATGAAGTACTGGTGTTCAGCAGGTGAGGTACACAGGCCACGGGCCATGCCAAAGTCCCCGATCTTGAGTTCACAGTTCTCATTCACTAACAAGTTCGAGGGTTTGAGATCACGGTGGATTACTTGAGCCGAGTGCATGTACTTCAGGCCTCGAAGCAGCTGGTACAGGAAATAGCGCACGTGCTCCAGTGTGAGTGGCTGTGAAGAGTGGATGATCTGATGCAGGTCACTCTCCATCAAGTCCAGGACCACATAGCTGTAAGAGATGGAGAGAAGGATGGGTGGCCCTCCCACCTTCCAGTGACCCGCCCCAGCCTCAATGCTTTAATCTGACTCCAAACACGTAATTTACCCCTGCCCCACAGAAACCCACAGCATGGTATGGAAGACAAGCACAGGTTCTAGTTTCTCTACAACTTTGCCTTAACCTTGGTTAAATCACTTTGTTTCTCTGGACTTAGTTTCCTATCAGATAAAGATAGATTATGACTAAATAGTGCTGACCAATAGGTTTAGTCTGGTGTCTCCATTATTTGGTAATGGCTGCTTGAAGAACTATGATGAAAACGGAGGGGAAGTCAAGTCCAAATTCTGCAGCAAAGTATTCTGTGATTGATTAGTGATGTCTGCTATGCATAATTAGCAGTGGTAGGATGAATGTCATTTATCTGCTACCCTTGACCAAGTATACTAAGTTTCTATAACGTTGTAAAGTTTATACTCTTCTTAAGGAATAATAATTGCTTTAGAAACTCCATAAAGGAGCATTTGTCCTGGTATCACAGCAATTTTCTCAGCCTGCCTTTACATTTCAGCTGCCCTTTCAGAACTTCAGCAACATGGTACCAGCCTTCAGAAAAGGTCCCAACTCTGCCTCCCTCTCCCAGCCCTGCTCCTTACACAGACTTGAACTCTCCATAGGGCACCATGGGCCTCAGGATGTCCTTGATGGCAATGATATTGTCATGTTTGAAGTGTTTGAGGATCTTCAGCTCTCTCAGTGTTCGTTTGGCATTGGTCACCACATCAAAAGCATTAGGGATCTTCTTGATGGCCACTTGCTGGCCTGAGAGCAGGGAAAAGGCAAGTAAACATCAGAGGATGAGGGTACAAATTAACAACAGCTACCACGTACTGAGTACCTGTACATACTGCATTCCAAGCCCTATGCTAGCAATTTTGGAAACGCTAATAAATTCAACCTTCACAACTTCTTTATGAGGCAGGATGCACAGCTAGTTAGTGCTAGCATTAAAACCAAACTCACTGCCATCAAGTTGATTCAACTCAGAACCCCTCCTTGG